AATGATAGTGGGTTATCTCCCTTAGCTACAGGTGTGCACTACAGTATTGCAACCAAGATTTGAAGTCTTACATCTGAGCAGCACTTTGTGCTTAGAAACAAAATCATCAATGAGAAATAATTGTCTAAATAACATTTTATATGGGCTTAAGCCTAATGTCTGGGAAGTGTAATCCCTTGAACTCTTTTTTTTTTAAAGCAAGGTATACATAACAATTTAATAGACCCTGATAACTTAATTTCAATTTTTTTTCAAATTCATCTTTAAGTCTTTCCATTATAGGGCTCATCAGGAAATTAAGCAACATATGAATACTTTGGTTAAATGTCAAATTAAGTATGATATGGTAATTTCTTCTATACTGCAATTATGAAGAACCTTCAAGAAACTTGTTTTGACTGTAGAAAAGTGTTGAGTCAAATATTCAACTCAATATAAACTAAGAACCATTTCTGATTTCTTAGGTGGAAAGTGCTTCTCCTACTGGGTCAAAGCTTTACATAAAAATACCATCCTACTTTCCCCACCAGGTTTCTAAAATACACGTACTTTCCTCAACATCTGCAGCCATCCAGGAATTTTTAGGAAACTTTTGTGCATGGGATTTAATTTTGTGCAGAGATTAATTCCTAATCCCTGGCTCGTTGGGCTCAGAGACAAAAGATCAAAACCACCAAAAATGATGGTTCACTTGAAGTCAAACGAGAGACCCTGACCCAATTAGTCTCATAGGATGAAAGCAGTGCTCCATCAACTGGCTCCATGCAGAATGGGCATTTGAAGGATCTCATCAACCAGTCTTCTATACAGTCCAGGTGATAGATGTGCATGCACGGCAGAAATCAAATTGGGTCCCCATAAACAAAGTCCATCATACAGATCACACACTCTCAGATCTTTTTTTCTGATTCATCTCTTCCAGGGTCATTAACTCCTTAGGCAGATGCTGTATAAGACCTATTCTTTGAGCTATTCTAATTTACTCCTCTTCAGTCAGCTGAGTTGCTAGCTGAGTCTGGCTAGGCATTGGACTGGAACTGGAACTTGTTCCTAGGTAACCTTGGGGAAAAGGCTCTAAGCAGAAAGATCACCTGATATGGCTGTGGTGGCTCCTGATCTGGTTCCATCCCCTCACCAAAGCTAGCCAGGTTGTACTGAGATTAGTGAAGCAGGGAGATATCATCAGAGTTTGGGGATTTGAAGCAGTTCCCCATCTTCCGGGGCTGGGATGTGTGTGTGTGTGTGATCTGCACAGAGTTCTCAGTGTATTCACCACCCTCTCTGCCAGGTGATATTTATAAGCCCACAGCTTATAAACATAATAAAGTCCAGGCTCTCACTCCCTGTCTCTCAACTCTCCTTTCCTATCTTCCCACACCACAGCCAGAGAGATTCTCTGTTCTGTTTCTTTCCATTCCCACCACCATCTCAAGCTAAGGTCTCCCTGTATTCAACATTGCCCCCACTCACTTTTTGAACCTTTGACCATCATCCTTTATAAATGTAGATATAAATTGGGTGTCATTGTAATCCCTTGAACTCTTAAAGAAATACACTGATCACTTTAATCTTTGGTTATACTTTCCCTTTGGGTGTTTAAGACCATACAGTTAGCCTAAATAAACCAATTTATTTTTACTCTTCAGGCCGTTGGAGGATCTGTTCATTAGGGGGGGATCATATAGGCTTGGGAGGAGACCCTGACTCCTTTCTTTTACCAGTGAAGATATGTGAAGATAAGTCAAAGGTCTTACTCGACCATGGCTGGCTTCACTTGGAAGCATGGAGGAAATGTTTCCTCTGAGTTGACCCTCCTCTTTGTAGACTGGACACTGGTGCAAGTCCATCTGGTGGGCCTCCTTGAACAGGACAGATGACTCACCACAGTTACAGGACATTTTGAGAGATGCTCCATAGTCCCCTGGAACATAGTCAACCTTGGAGGGCAAGGAGCAAACCCTGTTGTCCTTTAAGTCCCTCTGACCAGATTACTATAGGCCTCAAAATATGGCTATTAAACATCCAAGAAAGTTAGTTTCACCAGTCTGGTACTTTTAATTACTATGTGCTATGTAGATAAAGTTTGGGCAAAAACCAAACATTTTCAAATAAACCTTAATTAGACATATATTTTTTTCCTTAAACTAGTTGAATAAACTATGACCTTAGAAAATTTAGGATTATGTGTATATTACTTTTGTCTCATCCTTTATATATTATAGCAAACCTACACAGACCTTCATCACTTGCTTAAGCTTTCTCATTTTTCTATTTTGGAAAATATCTCCATTCTGATATCATTTTAACATCTTTTACATTCTCATTTCCTTTTTTAATAATTATGAGACATAATAACATTAACAAATAATTTTTCCATCTGTTGTGAGAATTCTTTTCCTAGGGATACTAAGCAATGCTTATCCCCTTTAAAGGTTCTAGGGTCAAACCAATGTTTGATTAAAGTTTTCATAGGGAACCAATGAATTTACTGAGCTTACTTAGAGATGACTGAGGGGTTGCTGAGGTGTATGAGTGACCTGGGAGTATGAACACTGGAAAGCCTTTACCCAGCATGGATCAAGACTTCTCTTCCTAGTCTCCCCCATATTATATATTTTAGCCCTCCCCAAATCCAGACCATGTGTGATTATGGCCAAATTACATACAGTTGGCTAGGAAGAGTGGCTGGATACTCCAGTAAGGGTCCACTAACCCTGCTTGCCCCTCCTTTAATGAAGGAGCACAACCGTCAACAAGCCCAATTATGATGATGTTTAGCAAGCAGGCACAGCTGAAGTCATGATGATGGTAGTTAGTAAACACAGAAGGAACTGCTGTACAGCATCATCTTATTAAAAGAACGGGGACTATAAAAGGATTTGGTGCCAGGATCCATAAATGAGAGAGAACATACATCTTTTCTTTTTCAGAGTCTGTGTTACTTCACTTAGTGTAACAGTTTCTAGATACATCCATTTACCTGAAAATTTCATTATTTCATCTTTCTTTACTGCTGAATAGAACTCCGTTACATAAATATACCACATTTTTGTTAACCACTCATCAGTTGAGGGATGTTTAGGTTGCTTCCATCTCTTAGCTATTGTGAAAATAGCAACAACAAACATGGTTGTGCAAGTGTCTCTATAATAGGATGAGTCCTTTGGGTATATGCCAATGAGTGGTATAACCGGGTCATATGATATGTTCATTTTTAGTTTTTTAAGAGTTCTCCACACTGTTTTCCATAGAGGTTGCATGAGTTTGCAATCCCACCAGCAGTGAATGAGTGTTCCCCTTTCTCCATATCCTCACCAGCATTTTGTGTCATTTGTTCTCTTGATCGTAGCTGGTCTGATTGGGGTAAGGTGAAACCTTAGGGTGGTTTTAATTCAACTGCATTGAAATTTTGATGGAGATTTTGTTGACTCTGTAGACTGTTTTTGATAGGATGGCTATTTTCACAATATTTTTTCAGCCATTTATTTCTTTTACTTATAGTTTGTGCTCAATGCAAATCAATTCCATAACATGAGAAGTTACTATGAATTAAAGTATAAACATACAAACATAGCATAGAATCAAATAGATGTACAGCATTTGGGGATGAAGCAGGAGGGAACCTTCATTCACACACACAGCAGCTTTGATTTGTGAGATCTACTGTTCCTGTGTAGGTCTAAAGATGGAAAAAATGACTCTGGTTATTAACACTACTGTGGCCATATTAGACCCCAGAACATATAAGCATCAGTGTATGACCATGCAAACAAATTATTTTTTCAGGGAATGTCTGTTTTCAAAGGCTTCTGTGTATCAAAGCAGTTGAAAAAATTTTACTGTGGAATGAAGCCCATTCTCAAGCTATGGACCAATGTCAAACTATCTAAAAATATGAATTGATAATTATTAAAAGTAATACAAATGTGGCTATTTGGGTCTGTTGCTTTGTTTTTTCTTTTTAAAAAAAAATTTACAGAAAGCGTATTGTTTGAATTTAATGCAAGTTCATCTCCAGTCTTCACATCCTAAAGGCTTTATTTACAGTTCGGTTTCCTTCCCATATTTGCCTTTCTAATTTCAAGATCTTTAATTTTATCTTCGTAACAGACCACGTTTTAAGTTATGAAAAGTACTCAACATATGTGGGAAAGAAGCAGTACTCTGAAATTAGTCCAGGTCAATGAAGTTCTACTCCGTGGAGCCAGCCTGGCTGAAAGAATCTGGCACTCTTGTTGACTTAAAGCGGGTGATGGAAAACGGCCACCATTTGATTTTGTAAAGTAAGAATTATTCATGATGGCTGGATTTGGGGGTGGGTTCCAATCCACCACTGCCTGGCACATGTCAATTACTACATCAAGGTCAAATATAATGTCAAGACTAAAGCCACAGAGTGGCGGCGGGGAGGGGGGTATAAAAATGTTCAATTACAAACAGAATAGTGACAGTTTAACAGCATGAAGTTTTATCTAGGGTTTTTCATGTCAAATTAGTAATGCTTAAACAATACATGGAGGATTTATACTATCATCTGGTAGTTCCTTCAAATGTATACATAAAGAGGATCATGGAAGCTTTTGGAATATTGCTGGTTTTATGGCCTTGTAGGTTGAACAAACCAAATGAAAACTGAATCTCCATTACACATTCCATCCTTATCTCTAGATAAAACCTATGCCTGATTTCAAGACAGTTTTAACTGTCCATATTTCTTAAGCCACATTCAAGGAAATCATGGTAATTTTGAATGTTATCTATCTTCATCTTGTACATAAAACTCCAACAGATTTAATACTGGCATTCATCATCTGTCAAACCCTTCATGTGTCCTTAAAAACCAATTAAATTTGGAATTCTCAGCGTTTTCTGTTTCAATACAATACGGTGTGGTCATAGTAGATTGATGCAGACCTGTTTCTTCCTTGCCACATTGGACTTGTAGTTGCTATTTGGAATGGGCCTAGCAGATAAGTAGAGATGTTGCTTGGCCTGAGTCTCTAACAGTAGAGATGCAGAAGAGAAAGTGACACCACAAGGAGACCAGCTGATGACTGCAGAGCATTGCTGCCTTACCCAATGGCATTAGTTGGATTTGGGACAGCAGAGGTATTCTGAGATGAGCTAATTGAAGGTGCTGCAACAGACATTTGGTTGGAATAAATCTGTGTGGGTAGGAGCAGGTCCAGCGGCAGCAACCCCAGTCCCAGCCTGGCCACCTTCGCTCTGCCTATGTCTGAGATGGTGGCTAGACTCTGGATGCTTGGTGCATGGAGATTGGCTTAGTTTGCACAGGAAGAGACAAGGTCAGTTTTCACAACATTAATCCTACCAATACATGAGCGTGGGTGCTCTATCCATCTTCCACTATCTTCTTAAATGATTTTCTTTGATGTCTTAAGGTTTTCCATTATTCCAAGACTTTTTATAATTTTTATTGAATTTTTGTGTATTTCATATAGAACATCTTAATCATCTTTACACCTCCTTCCCCATTGTCCCCCTTCCATAGCCCCCCACCCACTGGAATTCATATATTCAAGTCATTTTTGTTAAGGCCTATCATGTCAAGTTAATGTCCCTAGATGTCCCTCAGTGCAAGTTCATCCACTGAGATCTAGTCAGTCGATCTAGAGTTTCTTCTTTTAAGAAAATCAGCTCTTTCTCACCCAGTAGCTATCACCTGCCAAAAATTCTTCAACTTAGATTGGAGACTGCTGTCCATTTCTCCACTTCTGTGCTGGGATTTTGCTTGAGTTTGCATGGGTCATGTGCATGCTAACACCATTGCTACAGGTTTCTATGAGAAGAGTCTCGGGAGCCTGTAAGACTGTATTTCTGCATGATCATGTAACTCCTCCCTGACTCTTACACTCTTTCCGCCCCTCTTCCTCAATGGGCCCTGAGCCCTGGGTGGGTGGATTTTAATATAGGAGTACTGTAAAAGACCCACATTTTACACTCTTATTTGCTATGATTTAGCCATTTGTGACCTTTTGTGTTCTTGTCCCTCTGTTGCATGAGGGAGCTTCATTCATGAGAATTGAAAGATGCATTAGTGTTCTGTTCATCCCTTGTTCTATGTTCTGTGAGCCTTAGGTGTAGAGGTTGCATCATAGATGTGCCACTTAGGTTTAGCCAAGTCACAGACAATCTCTGTGTGTGACCAGTTGTGGAACTCTGTAATAATCTCTGTTGAAAAAGAAGCTTCTTTGATGGGTGGTGACTAGGATACTTGTCTGTAAATTTATGGATCAATATTTTGCACATAATAAGAAATTACATTTGTCTAGGGATATGAAAGCTTTGGGGTTTTCTCTAAGATCTATAACCTCTCCAGCTATGTGTATTTTGCTAGGTTTATAGTGCCACACATGAGTTTCCTTGCATTGAGTGGACTTTAAGTCCAATTAGGTAGCTGTTGATTACCCCCCAAGACAGAAGTGCCACTACTGCACCAGTGTACTTTACTCTGCTAGTCATTGATGTGATTTTTAGGCCTTGAAGCTGAGGTTGAACTATCGATTGATGGTCTCCCTTGCCAGCTTGTGTAGTGCTCTCCAAAGCTATGAGAGCTAGCCTTCACGGGAAGTGGTTTCTAGGTCAGTTCCAACTCCATTGCTCCAAATCCTGGGTCCAAAGTATGTCCTGTCCTCAACAATAGGGACTTACATTCAAGTTCTGGGAGGCAATCAAGGACTATGGCAATAGCTTGTGTAAATTTGGGAGTCTCTTGCACTACCTTGGCCAAGAGTTCAAAGGAAGGTTTCTCCTCTGTCACTGTTTCTTGTTATGAAGACTTCAGCTGTACACACGGACTCATGTACAGATATTGCATGTGTAGTTTTCAGTAGGTTTTGGACTAATACTATTCCCTCTGGGTTTTTTTATACTATATAGGCATTATTTATCTCTCCACTCTCTCTCTCTCTCAATCTGTCTTATCCTCCCTCCCTGCCCTCTCCATTTAAATTGATGGTTCCTAACTGCTATGGTCCCACCTTTCTTGATCTCCTTCCTCCCCTTTATCACCATAGTTCTTTGTATATCCTTCCCTCTCCCCTTCCATTTAACTATACCCACTTTACTCATTTCTCCTTTAATAACACCTGTCTCCTACTGTTCTCTCTTGGGTTCCTTCTTTCCCTTTAACTCCCTGGTTCCCTTCCATTTTCCTGGTTTCTACAGTAACATCAGGATATATACTCACATATAAGGATTTTGTGCTTGTATTCACAAATAAAGGAGAACACATCTTCTTTCTGAGTTTGTGTTACTTCACTTAGTATACCAGTTTCCAGTCCCATCCATTTACCTGCAGATTTTATTATTTCATCTTTCTTTATCATTGAGTAGGACTCCATTGTGTAAATGTATCACATTTTTGTTATCTACTGGTCAGTTGAGGGGCACTTACATTGTTTCCATCTTTTACCCATTGTGAAAAGAGCAGCAACAAACATGGTTACACAGGTATCTCTGCAATAGGATGAGTCCTTTTGGGTACATGGTAGGTTCACTTTTTGTTTTTTTAAGAGTTCTCCACACTGCTTTACATAGGGGTTGCATGAATTTGCAACCCCATAGGCAGTGAATGAGTGTTCCCCTTTCTCCACATCCTCGCCAGCATTTGGTATTGTTTGTGCTCTTGATCTTATAGCCAGTATGACTGTGATAAGATGAAATCTTAAGGTGGTTTTAATTTGCATTTCCCTAACTACTAACAATGTTGAACACTTTCTAAGATGTTTCTTAGCCATCTTTATTTCTTCTTTTGAGAACTCTCAGTTTAGATCGATAACCTATCTTTAAATTGGGTCATTTGTTTTCTTTAGTCATTTTTTTAAATTTCTTTATATATTATGAATGTTAAACTTCTGTCAGATGTGTCACTGGTGAAGATTTTTTTCCCACTCTGTGGGTTTTTCTCTTCACGTTCTTGGTTGATTCTTTTGCTGTACAGAAGCTTTTTTAGTTTAATGAGGTCCCACTTGTTGCTGACCTTAATTCCTGAGCAACTGATGTCCAATTTAGAAAATCCTATCCTATACATATGTCTTGTAGGTTACCGCCAATGTTTCCTTCTAACAGTTTTAGAATTTCAAGTTTCACAATGAAGTCTTTGATCCATTTGGAGTTGACTTTTGTGCAAGGTGAAGGATAGGGTCTAGTTGCATTCTTTTACAAATGGAGATCCAGTTTCAACAGCATCATTTGTTGAAGATGCTGTCTTTCCTCCAGTGTGTGTTCTTGACACCATTGTCAAATATCAGGTGGCTGAAATTGTGGGCACTCATGTTTGGGTCTTCAATTATGTATCATTGATCTGTCTATTTTTGTGCCAGTATCATGCTGTTTTTAATGACTAAAACTCTGTACTATAGCTTGAGATCTGGTGTAGAAATCCCCGCAGCATTGCTCTTTGTGCTCAGGGTTGCTTTGGTTATTCAAATGTGCTGCCATATGAATTTTAGGATTTTTTTTCCTAGTTCTGTGAAATATGTCATGGAGATTTTGATTGGTATTGTACTGAATCTATAAATGTCTTTTGGTAGGATGGCCATTTTTTAATTATTTATTTAATAATCATATAATTAGAAGAAGCATTTAATTACAACAGCATTGACATATTCAATAACAGTTTCCAGAGCTAAGATGCATCTGTTTCAAGATTGGCTGTAAAATTTTAGGTTTACAGTTGAATTAATACAGTTATACAATATTGTACTCAGTATAAACCCTTTAAGATGTAAAATTAAATGAAGTTTTAACCTTTAAAAAAGATCTCCATTTCATTATTGAAATACACAGTTTCATACAGAAAAATTCATTTTTAACACAATTGACTCTAAGATGCACATGTGTTTTTAATCTCTATATATCTAATTATTACTAGTCAGTCGTTTTATCTACTAATTATTAAGGAGCAAATTTTTATGCTTTGAAGAATTTTTTTTTGTTTTCTTTTTTCTATTTATTTATATACCTACTTCCCAGGTAGCACCCTCCCATAACCTCCCTCCCCTGACTAGAGCCATTATACTCTGATATCCCTGCTACTGTCTGCTGTGTTGTCAGCACCCCAAGCCATTCCCCACTACTTGCCCTTCTGGTGAGTCTAGTCAGCATATCTAGAGGTCTTTGTTTAAGGAGGGTTAGCTGTTCCTCATCTAGCAGTAATCAGTTGTCAATATTCCTTTCGATAAGATTGGGGTCTGCTGTTCATTTTCCCAGTTCTATGCTGGGTTACTATCTGGGAGTCTCTTAGGCCACCCTGGCCAAGAACTCAAAGGAAAATATCTCCTATCTGGCATTGTTTCTTGTCATGTAACCTTTAGCTATACACATGGACTTTTAAATAAATATACTGATCACTTTAGTCTTTGGTTATACTTTAACAGCACCTGAAAGGGGGAGTGAGGATGAAAGAAAAACAAGAGACAGAGAAAGATACTTGGGAGGATTGTCAGTAGAGACTGCAGCCCCGGTTTATTTTAGCTCTGCCTTTTTATACAGAAGAACATCAGAGATCTTAACTCAATTAATTTCAACAGCTGTTTTTCCCACCTGTATCTGAGGGTCAAGGAGTGGTCAAATACTTGTTTTGTGAGCTCCACCATATAAACACATTCCTCCTGACTTGGCAGATTAGGTACTGGTGTGCAAAACACAAACTCAGTAAACAAGCCTGCCACAGCTCAATGTACATAACAGATTAATAGCTCCCAACATCTCCCCGTCCTTTATTTTTTATAGCCCCAGATTACACTATATCTACGACAGAAGGACCGTGCATGTCTTAGGTCATCTTCTGCTAGAGCAAAGCCTTACCCGTCATCAGCACATAGCTTCCATCAGCTACGCCCTGTCTTAGGTTGACTTTCTCCCAGAAGATCTTACCCGTCTTTGACTTCCGGCCTCTGTTAGGGGAGGAAGCGCAATCTCATATCATGCACAGCAGCCTTGACTTGCCACAGGAATTCATAAATAACTTTACTGCCACTAGATGAAAACAAAGACAGGAGGAAAAGCATGCCAAGTCCCACTAAACCATACACAATGGAAGTGATAGAGGACCACGATGGTAAGGTGGCTCTCAACCTTTTTAGAATATCTGCCGCTGCTTACCGGGTGGAAATGCAGAGAAATTTTTTTTTTCTATTATCTCTTGGCAATAACACTTTGACATTGGTACAATATCTACTTTGTCCCACAAGCACACAGTCATCTACTTGTACACACCCGGACTTATTATTTTTAACAAAACAAATAGGCAACCCACTTCCCAATCCAAAATAATAAAAATTCATCGCCACTTGCATCATCAGGTGTTTTGAAGCAGGCTGAGCAATTAACCAAGAGTCATTCACAGTCACTACTATCTCTTTTTCCTCCCATATTGTGGGGTGCAATATTGTGGATCAGGAACATAAGTCCAGTATAACTCAGCCAAGATCACTTGCGGGAACATCATCATCAGCCACATTTGCCTCCTCATCATTCTTTTCTGCTTCTTTTTCTTTGGCACTCATCTGGCGAACCTCACCAGCCTTTCCGGCAGCCACCTGGCTCCATCCACGTCCTGTGGAAAAACACGAACATGCCCTCTTCCCCATATCAATACAGCATCAGGGTCATTCCATTGTCCAGTTAAAGGATCCTTCCACCTGACTTGGGCATAGGTATCCTATGACTGAGGGTGCCACATTCTATCTGCCACAGAGCGGTCATTTTTATCCAAATTCAAAAACTTTAAAATGAAAAAAGTATGATGTAAAAGATTACTTTGTGTCTGGGGATATAACTCCCCATTTTTTATTTTTTGTAATTGTGCTTTGAAAGTGCCATGTGCTCTTTCCACTATACCTTGTCCTTGTGGGTTATACGGTATCCCAGTTCTATGCTCAATGCCCAATTGCAAACAGAAACGCTGGAACCCCTGACTGGTATAGACAGAGCCATTATCTGTTTTTATAACATTAGGGATCCCAGCTATGGAAAAGCAAGTCAAGCAATGAGTTATAACATTTTTTGTGGCTTCCCCTGTTTGTGCAGTAGCCATAATAAAGCCAGAAAAGGTATCTATTGTAACATGTACACACCTTTGCCTGCCAAAATCTGCAACATGAGTAATGTCCATTTGCCACAATTGGTTAGGCTTCAGCCCTCTGGGATTAACCCCATAATGAGGAACAATTTGTGTTGGAGGACAAGATGAGCATTGTCGCACAATTTGTCTTGTAGCTTCCTTAGTAATATGAAATTGTTTTCTCAAACTTTGGCTATTTTGGTGATGAATGGCATGAGAATTTGTAGCTTGCTCTACCTGAGTCAATCCTATAAGCTGAGTGGCTTTATCCGCCAAGGCATTCCCCAAAGCTAATGGCCCAGGAAGACCACTATGCACTCTGAGATGTCCTATATAGCAAGGATATTTTCTAGATTTAATACTATTTTGCTCTTGTCTTAACAGCAAACAAATTCAAAAATTCCTCATTTCAATAAAAGATACTGTTTCAATTTCCTGTAGAGCTCAAGCTACATAATGACTATCTGTATAGAGATTGAAGGGTGTTGAGGCCAGAAGCTGGAACACTGCAGCTACAACACGAAGTTCCACTACCTGTGCTGAAGCAGGGGAAGTTTGAAAAGAATAACTTTGCCCATAAATCACATAAGCTGCATGTCCGTTAGAAGAACCATTAGTAAACACCAACATGGTCTGGGTAAAAGAGGCAGTAGGACCATACTGAGCACAAGCAGTCCTTAGTTCCTTAAGCTGCTTAAAAGGCACAGGTGCATGAGACCGCACCCTGTTGCCCTGCTGATCAACTTGCTCAGAAACTGGGAAGACCTGAAATCCACGTACTGACTCTCCTCGCTCTACCGTGGCCCCAATGGCCTGTTGTAGCGGGGACTGCACAGTTCTAAGCAGGGACCAGATTCCTGCCGAAGGCTCCTGAGCCAAGGCAATCATGGGAGGTGCAACAGCCTTCAGTGGCCTCAGAGGAGGAGGATCTCCTATCATGATAGAGGGTGTTGGGGTGGTCCTAATTCTTTTCTCTTTAACATTTCCTTCTTCACAGCCTCTAACTCTGCCCTTAACTGCTCAATTTCCCAGTGATAGTTAGATTTCTCAGGCAAAGCAATTAGAGGTGGACACGTCTCCTGATCATACTCAACCATCTCCTCTCCTAGGGCAGACTCATTCTCAGGGTCAAGAGATCCCTCTTGAGGTTCTCATAAAAGGGTGATGAGGCTAATGGAACTGGCTCTGGTGGAGTGGAAGGTTTGGTTTCACTTTTATCCCAGCCTACCTTTATTGGATTCTCCTTAGTCTCAGCCTTTGCTCCTCAGGCCACAAGCATATTCCTTACAAAAACTGAGCGACTGTTTCCTTGTCCCATCTTCTCCCAAGATAAATACTCACCACTCCCCAATCTTACCGAGTGCACTCACTTAATTTCTCCAGCAGTGTCCTTCACTTTTTCCCCTACTTTTCAGGCCCCTGTTCTGGGCGCCACTTGCCGGTACTAGCCGGCCAAAACGGACAGTACCTGAAAGGGGGAGTGAGGATTGAAAGAAAAAACAAGAGACAGAAAAGATACTTGGGAGGGCTGTCAGTAGAGACTGCAGCCCTGGTTTATTTTATTTATTTCAGCTTTGCCTTTTTATACAGAAGAACTCAATTAGTTTCAACAGCTGTTTTTCCCACCTGTATCTGAGGGTCAAGGAGCGGTCAAATACTTGTTTTGTGAGCTCCACCATATAAACACATTCCTCCTGACTTGGCAGATTAAGTACTGGTGTGCAAAACACAAACTCAGTAAACAAGCCTGCCACAGCTCAATGTACATAATGGAATAATAGCTCCCAACAGTCCATTTAATCTTTGGTTACACTTTCCTTTTGGGTGTTTAAGGCCATACAGTTGGTCCAGATAAAACCAATTTATTTTTACTCTTAAGGCCATTTGAGGATCTGTTCCTCAGGGGTCACATGGGCTTGGGAGGAGGCCCTGGCTCCTTTCTTTTACAAGTTCCTGCCTATGTGAAGATAAGTCAAAGGTCCTGCTCAACCGTGGTTGACTTCACATGGAAGCATGGAGGAAATGATTCCTCTGTGTTGACCCTCCTCTTTGTAGACTGGACACTGGTTCAAGTCCATCTGATGAGGTCTCCTTGGCCTCCTTGATCAAGAGGACAGGTGACCCACCACAATTACAGGACATTTTGAGAGATGCTCAGAGACCCCTGGAACTAGTCGACCTTGGAGGGCAAAGAGCAAAAACTGTCCTTTATGTCCCTCTGACCAAATTATTATAGACCTCAAAGTATGTCTGTTAAACACCAAGAAGGTTAGTTCCACCAGTCTGGTATTTTTAATTATTATGTGTCATGTACATAAATCTTGGGCAAAGACCAGTTGTTCTCAGATAAACCTTACCTAGACATATATTTCTTGATCTGCTATGTATAATTTGTCAGTAGTTATAGGAGTAATATGGTTCCCTCTGGTTTTCAAAACTAGCTAGGCATTGCTTATCTCTCATATTGTCTCACCCATCCATCATGATTTTCCCACTTAAGGTGCCCCCATTTCCCCCCTTTCTCCCTTACTAATACCCTTCTCCTGTGGTCTTACCTCTCCTGAATGCCTGCTTTCCCATTATCCCCTAGGTTCCTCCCTTAAACTACCCAATTTTTATCCATATCTCCCTTATTAAGGCCTGTTTCCTACTGTTCTTCTCTTACAAGTTATTTCTTTTCCTTAACCTCCCTGTTTACTTTCCATTATCCTGGTTCCTGTAGTTATGTCTGGATACATACTTATCAGGGTTGGGTTCTAGGATCCACATATGAGGGAGAACATATGTTGATTTGTTTTCTGAGTCTGTGTTACTTCACTTAGTATAACAGTTTCTAGTTCTATCCATTTACCCGCAAATTTCATGATTTCATCTTTCTTTACTGCTGAGTAAAACTCTCCATTGTATAAATGAACGACATTTTCATTATCCACTCATCAGTTGAGGGACACTTAGGTTGCTTCCATCTCTTAGCTATTGTGAAAACAGCAGCAACAAACATGAATGTATAAGTATTTATGCAGTAGGATCAGCCCTTTTGATACATGCCAAGGAGTGACATAACCAGGT